AATTTTCTATTCCAGACAAGAAGAAGGTTATGAATTTCATGGGGCTTGGGAGAAAAGCAGGATCATGCGTCTTCATAAACTTGTAAGAAAAAGTAAATTCAATTATGTCCATGCTATCTGGCGGGATTGTTTGGGAAGGAGCTAGCTAACGTTTTGGTGAACAAACATCTTGATTTACTTAAAGGATCATTTCTTGTAACAGCCTGGTATAGAGTTAGCCTTGATTTAGGACTAAAATGTAAGAACTGGTTCAAGATATAATTACTGTTGAGTCATTAAATAGCAGTGACCACAGTACAATTACAGGTTCAGCATCCTCAAGGGTGGGAGGCGCTGGACTGAAAATGAGTCTCATGTTATAAAATATGGGGAGAAGATCAGAAAAATAAAGTCAGTCTTGTCAAGGCAGCCCCACAGATACCTGGAAAGGTTACAGATATCCAAGTTAGGCAGAGCTCTGTCACGAAGGAGCTTCAGAGCTGAAGTGGAAATCAATTATGAAGTAAAATAGTTATAAAGTTACAAATTATAGTTATAAAGGAAGGGGCTTCTGAAGTCCAGCAAGAGTCCATCAAAAGACAGAAGACCATCTCTTGCAAAGTAGACTGAAAGAGCCATGCTGTACGGCAGGTAACCGGTGATCTGGAAATTAATCAGTTTAGGAGGGGCTTTGAAGAGCTGGGGGCCTTAGGGAGCAAACGCTATCTTAAGTATATCAGAGAGAAGGCTGGGGAGAAAATCTGCGCATGCAGGACTGAGGGCACAGTTAATTTTCTGCACTACTTCATACTACTTAAGTGACTTCTCCACATCATTCTGGAGCACAGGGCATGTTTGAGAGCCTGCCTATCCATCACCTAGTCCTTTTGGAAGGTAAAGATGAGGAGCCTCCCTCTGAAACTTGAGTGTTTGAGGCAGAGATGCTGGAGCAAAGCAGTAAATTCAGGAGTAAGAGCAACAGGTGTACCTAGGAGTTTTAAAAGAGCTCGAGACTGAAACGCTAAAATTACTAGCAGAAATAGGGCTGTTAAAAAATAGCATAGTATTCTCCATGACTAGATAACGTCCTAATGTCAGATTAATTATTTTTTTTTAATTAAAGTATTAAATGGGGCACTGGGAATTCCGGATCAGAAACCCTGATCTCTGGTTTGAGAAGGAGAAAGTGAGGTGCTGTAACTCTTCAGTATGTGATAGGTTGAAAGCAACATACTTTCTGCAAAGAAAGGAGGTTGGACTAGCTGACCTTCAAAAGTCCCTTCCAACTCAAACCATTCTGTGATTCTATGATCAGTCGTGTTTTCTGGGTAATCTACCTGAATCTTTGAACATGTTGACAAACACGAGGAGGTGGAGAGTCAACTGATCTATATTTGGATGTTTTAAAAGCTTTTTTTATCAAGTCCTCCCAAGAAGGTATTAACAAATATGCTTGTAATGAGAAGAGAAATATCATGGAGTCCTTCTTTGGTTGCAGCTGATGGTGATCACTTGGGTTGCACAAGGTAGACAAAAGTCAAGTTGGAGATGGTGATCAAAGGCTTCCAAGCTTGCATCTTGAGTAGATCAGCCTTGGAGCAAATGAGTTTCCTCTGGAAAACACTGATTCATTAAAACTGAAGTTGCCAGGTAGAGAAGTTCAATTTTTATTGAACTTTTCTGGTGATCACATCTAGGTCCAGGCTGCAAAGTCTGGTTGATCAAAGAGGAGAAACAAGCCCTGGGTAGCATGGCTCTAGATTTCTTTCATCATGTGACACCCCAAGTTCAAATTCCTACCCTGAGCTTGCCTTGCAAGTCTGCCAGATCCCAGAGCATGCCTCAGCAACTAGTGTTGTGGATATGTTCTGTTTTCTTTTGGTTATACCAAGAAAAACCCAAAAGGTTTTGGTTTTGACAATGGTCAGAAAGGGAAGGAGTGGGGAGGGAGGCTCAGTCAACATTTTCCAGGTCTTGTCTAGCTCTGTTCTTGAGGGAGGATGGTCCACGGGTGTGTGCACGCGTGCGTGCAGACCTGTGTTACCTCTCTTCCCAAGGGACCTAGGAGGAACTGGTGAGACCTAGAGCAACGCTTTGCTTTTCTTGCTCACTTTTAGGCTTCTTAAAAGTCTAGAAGTCATGGCAAATATCTTTGATTCTCCCACCTTCCCTGTCTGCAGTAGGTCATTGTACCAAAGAGTCAGTGCTTTTGATAAATCATCGGATTTTGCAATAGGAGCAGGTTAACTGCAGGCACCTCAAGGATTTTGGCTCAAGTTAGTGTTTAAATATAAGAATTGGCAGTGGAAAGAGCAGAGTGGTTGGTTTATACCATGACTGGAAAATTCAGAAGAGCATGATAAGGTCTGTTACTGTGAGTATGCAGCAGTGGGGGCTGACCCTGGGAAATGCAAGGTAATAGGTGGGGGGGAGCAATTTTTAATGCTCCAACAGTATTACCAGGCTTTAAGTGATTTGCTCATTCAGGAAGAAGAATATCTGATTCTGGGTAGCAAAAGCAAATGAAGTGAAGGTGTATAGACTGCCGTAGAAAATAACTGCATATTACAGATTTAGGTGCTAAGGTCTGAGAGGCTGCTGTGCGTGAACTCTCCTGTAACACAGTTCACTAGACGCCCACGGTGTCCTTGTGCTGTTTTCCCTGGTAATCTGGTGGTTGTCAGTGGCACAACCTTTGTCCCCTCCCCCTAGAAATACTAATTCTATTAGATTGCTCACTTCTAGTTAAATTATACCAGCTGACTTTGAAGTACTTAATATAAAAGCGTCGTGGTATGCTTGCATGATAGTTATTTGATGTAAGAAAAAAAAATCTCTTGTGCTCTCTCTTTAGGAATTTGGGCTTTGAGTTTCATTGGGGAGTGTTGTATGTACCCAACTGCATGGGATCGGGCTCATCGCTTTTTAAAAATGTATTTCACATCTGAGATTAGAAACGTTCTAGAAGACAGGTCAGAAGATAAAGTTGGCTGTTACAGGCTCAGATGGTAATAGTGACTTGTGCTAAAGGCTGTCCGTCCACATAGAAAACTGCACGGCTACTTCTGTTTTAACTGCTGTCAAAGGTCTGGCATTTTGGTAATAGTATTTTTTCTAAATGTACTGAGTATACTTGCCTTTAAATCCTGTTAGGTACAGATAATTATCGTTGGTATTCTGTAAATTAGCTCTATACTAGCATTCACATTGGACGAGGCTTAATATTGTGAGCGTCAAAGATGACTTGAAAAAGGAAAATTAATTTATACCCTTTTAATGCGGTTCGACCCATATAGGGGTTTATTTGTAGAAGTAGCAGGAGTGCTACGACTGTCCTTCCCCTTTTATTTGCTGTGATTTTCTGCAGGAGAACATAAAGATTTAAATCTATTTTCCTATCCATCGGAGACACTGAGATATTATCACGGTGGTGATGGAAATACCTAGACAAACCAGGCCATAGCACAGAGATAATGCATCTTTTCCTTTTTTTTTCCTTCTTCTGCTGTCAATCAGGCCTCCGAGCTTTTTTTTTTTTTTTTCTTTAAATGTAAAAGAGTTAAATTTTTTTGAGTAAGAATCACTTCCCTCATCTGTCTGGTGTGACATCTGCTAATACCATAGGTCTGTTCAGGCTGGATTATTTGTGGTCTTCCAGAAAAGGTAGACAGGACTAGAATTACTGATGCCAAAAATTGCCCACAGCAAAAGAGGGAAATCCTCGTTTTCGGGACAAAACCTATCCAGACCGTTTTCAGACACCCTGCAGCACACCACAAAGGTATAAATACCTACTTTTTCTTTTCCAGGTGATCTTTATGGCCAGGTAGCAGCGGGCAGGGTCAGTCTGTCTGGGCTGATGGGATGGGTGTCCTGCCCTGCAGATTTGCCCTACTTCGCCATCAAACCCAACGGTTTTTAGGCTGGGCTTTTGTCCTCCAAGTGGAGCTCAGCCCTGGCACAGCCAGCCCTGGCACAGCCAGTGCCATTGGGCGTCCACGCTGTTCCCATGCTTCTTGCATCTCCGCAGATACGAGATTCGGCGTCTCCGCAGGTGATGCTGCCTGCGCACAGCCCAGCTGCTTGGTGTGCATTTAGGGAGCTATGTGTGGTTGGCTTTCACCCTGTCCTCAGTGTTAATCCCCAGGGCAGAAAAATCAGGACTTTCTCAGTTAAAGAAAAAAACAAAAAGTGAAGCAAAATCTCTGGAGAGTGGTGTTTCCCTGCAGTAGTGACGGCCATTCACCACCCGCTTCTGTTCAGCCATGACCCCTGGTTCTGTTCTGCTGGGTTTTTAGCCATCTTGACCTCATGTTTGCAAATATTATTGGTAATATAATGCTCTATGTACAAATGTCTGTGTGGTTCATGTGTATGTTTCTGCGGTTCAAGTCAGCCACAGACTTCTGGAATTTCATTGTACTTTGGTTAAATGTTGGACTTTTAACTCTTCTACTGTATGGCTTCTTGATTTCTCTTGTCCAATGTGGACCAACTCTATTTTTGGAAATAAATAAGCATGTAAATAAAATGAATGGGTTTATGCCACTTACAAGAAAATGCTTTCTTTAAAATATACACTCAGTCTTGTATATTTTATGGTATCTCAGGGAGTGGACAAGGCTCAGGCACCAGCAGCCTTGGTGATGAGATACCATATTATGTACAAATTCACTTCCAAGTGGTTTCAGAAGAAGACTTTCCACCTCCTGAGCCAAACCCCCGTAGGACCAGGCTTGGGGGGGTGGGGGGGTGGGAGGGAGAATCCAGAAAGAAATGCATAGTTTAAGGGGAGTAGAGGAAAGAAACACGACTTTCCTCTCAACACAAGGCTTCTGGTTTGAGGTGTCCAGGTGCCAAAGGTGCCGCCAAGTGTAGGGACGCCACGGGCAGCTCTCGGCTCCTGCCCAGGAGCTCGTGGAGATCAGGAGCACAATGATTTCTTTTTTTTTTTTTTAAACTTCTCAATATAAACCAATATTTACCAGTAATCCTGTGTTTCTGTTTTTGTTTTTTGGCAGACTTTTACCAGTAAATATCGGTTTATTCCTGAAACCAGAAGCCCTAAACATACCTTTGTTTATAAGGTCAGTTGTCATTTTGTCTCTCTCATTCCCCACTCCCCCCAGTACAAGCCGGCAGGTGACTGAAAGGTACCAAGTTTTCTTTCTAGTTTTCCTGCTCTGCGTCTTTGGGAACTGGAGCCCGCAGGACCTAGAGCCTTCTGTTGGTAACGTAGACCAGAGTTTACAAATTATTCTTTTACCATTTTAAAGCCTGCTTTTAAGGACAGAGATGTTCCCAGCTGCCCACTATGGGAACTGGTAGAAACCCCTGCAAATGCCTAAATTGCTTCATCTCTCCAAAGCCTGCGGGTAGGTCTCTCACAAGCATCTTCAGGCTTGGGGCTGAGAAAATAATTCATTGAAAAAAATACGCTAAAAAATGCTATTTCTGTTTTACAGTGAGGAGGACTGGGGGAGGGAAGGGCGGGAAAGGAATTTGACCACCACCACCTCCCCCCCCCACCCCCCCATATTTTTCTAATTTACTGCTAAAAAGCAAGTGTGACATGGGGAGGAGGGAGAGAATTTGAACGTTGCCCTTCCTAAACTCATTGTAAACTCTTCCTCCAAGGCTGGGAGAAAGGGCAAGTAAAAGGTCTGATCCTTAAAAGGACATTGCTAGGTGTCTGGGACCCCAAAAGCAGCTGGCGCTTTTTAATGATGGGAATTGCTTTAGGTCCTTTTTTCAGAGTTTTGGTTTGTACCAAGACAAACTGACTTGGGAAAGAGTTAAATTTTTTTGAGTAAGAATCACTTCCCTCATCTGTCTGGTGTGACATCTGCTAATACCATAGGTCTGTTCAGGCTGGATTATTTGTGGTCTTCCAGAAAAGGTAGACAGGACTAGAATTACTGATGCCAAAAATTGCCCACAGCAAAAGAGGGAAATCCTCGTTTTCGGGACAAAACCTATCCAGACCGTTTTCAGACACCCTGCAGCACACCACAAAGGTATAAATACCTACTTTTTCTTTTCCAGGTGATCTTTATGGCCAGGTAGCAGCGGGCAGGGTCAGTCTGTCTGGGCTGATGGGATGGGTGTCCTGCCCTGCAGATTTGCCCTACTTCGCCATCAAACCCAACGGTTTTTAGGCTGGGCTTTTGTCCTCCAAGTGGAGCTCAGCCCTGGCACAGCCAGCCCTGGCACAGCCAGTGCCATTGGGCGTCCACGCTGTTCCCATGCTTCTTGCATCTCCGCAGATACGAGATTCGGCGTCTCCGCAGGTGATGCTGCCTGCGCACAGCCCAGCTGCTTGGTGTGCATTTAGGGAGCTATGTGTGGTTGGCTTTCACCCTGTCCTCAGTGTTAATCCCCAGGGCAGAAAAATCAGGACTTTCTCAGTTAAAGAAAAAAACAAAAAGTGAAGCAAAATCTCTGGAGAGTGGTGTTTCCCTGCAGTAGTGACGGCCATTCACCACCCGCTTCTGTTCAGCCATGACCCCTGGTTCTGTTCTGCTGGGTTTTTAGCCATCTTGACCTCATGTTTGCAAATATTATTGGTAATATAATGCTCTATGTACAAATGTCTGTGTGGTTCATGTGTATGTTTCTGCGGTTCAAGTCAGCCACAGACTTCTGGAATTTCATTGTACTTTGGTTAAATGTTGGACTTTTAACTCTTCTACTGTATGGCTTCTTGATTTCTCTTGTCCAATGTGGACCAACTCTATTTTTGGAAATAAATAAGCATGTAAATAAAATGAATGGGTTTATGCCACTTACAAGAAAATGCTTTCTTTAAAATATACACTCAGTCTTGTATATTTTATGGTATCTCAGGGAGTGGACAAGGCTCAGGCACCAGCAGCCTTGGTGATGAGATACCATATTATGTACAAATTCACTTCCAAGTGGTTTCAGAAGAAGACTTTCCACCTCCTGAGCCAAACCCCCGTAGGACCAGGCTTGGGGGGGTGGGGGGGTGGGAGGGAGAATCCAGAAAGAAATGCATAGTTTAAGGGGAGTAGAGGAAAGAAACACGACTTTCCTCTCAACACAAGGCTTCTGGTTTGAGGTGTCCAGGTGCCAAAGGTGCCGCCAAGTGTAGGGACGCCACGGGCAGCTCTCGGCTCCTGCCCAGGAGCTCGTGGAGATCAGGAGCACAATGATTTCTTTTTTTTTTTTTTAAACTTCTCAATATAAACCAATATTTACCAGTAATCCTGTGTTTCTGTTTTTGTTTTTTGGCAGACTTTTACCAGTAAATATCGGTTTATTCCTGAAACCAGAAGCCCTAAACATACCTTTGTTTATAAGGTCAGTTGTCATTTTGTCTCTCTCATTCCCCACTCCCCCCAGTACAAGCCGGCAGGTGACTGAAAGGTACCAAGTTTTCTTTCTAGTTTTCCTGCTCTGCGTCTTTGGGAACTGGAGCCCGCAGGACCTAGAGCCTTCTGTTGGTAACGTAGACCAGAGTTTACAAATTATTCTTTTACCATTTTAAAGCCTGCTTTTAAGGACAGAGATGTTCCCAGCTGCCCACTATGGGAACTGGTAGAAACCCCTGCAAATGCCTAAATTGCTTCATCTCTCCAAAGCCTGCGGGTAGGTCTCTCACAAGCATCTTCAGGCTTGGGGCTGAGAAAATAATTCATTGAAAAAAATACGCTAAAAAATGCTATTTCTGTTTTACAGTGAGGAGGACTGGGGGAGGGAAGGGCGGGAAAGGAATTTGACCACCACCACCTCCCCCCCCCACCCCCCCATATTTTTCTCATTTACTGCTAAAAAGCAAGTGTGACATGGGGAGGAGGGAGAGAATTTGAACGTTGCCCTTCCTAAACTCATTGTAAACTCTTCCTCCAAGGCTGGGCCCCCCCCAAAATGTTTGTGACCCAAATGCAACAGCGTTACGCTAGTACTCGAGAAACAGAGAAGCTGGCATGGAATAGAAAATGAGTTGACTGCATGGTCCCAGCCAATTTTTTTTCTCCCAAGAAAACAAAATGCAAAAAAAAAAAAAAAAACAGAAAAAAAGAAAAACACACGAAAAACAGCCCTAACCCCAAAAAAACTCAACCTCCCAAAAAAGCAAGCCAAGGAGGATCTCAAATGCCTAGTCTAGTTTTATTGTACACGGTTGGCGAGAGCGTTCTTGGCATACCTGAAACCTAACTATGTCCCTTTAAGGAGCACCAGTGGCTAATTTCCTCCTGATGAACCCAAAAGCTGAGGTTTTGGCAGTTTTTTGAGTGCAGACCAAAGCTCCTGCAGCCTTAGTTGAAATCCAGAATGAGGGGAGCCCTTCCAGCTGTGCACTTTGAGCTGAAAACTACCTTTCCTCCCCTTTTGCAGCCTGGGTGGTTCTGATTGCTGGCAGTTCTGTAATACAACTTTAATCTGAGCAATTGAGGCTGGTCCTACATTATCTTCAGACGTCTTGCGGAGGACTCCTGTTACCAGTTTGGTACTCAAAAGCTACACCCCACCATCAGAAGTCACTTATTTTTCTCTTTTTCAAAGGCAGTGATAGATTACCCTCTCTAGCTCTAATGGAAAAATTATAATTGCAATGCAACTTTCTAATAAATTGTTCATATATTCATAATTCCGTTGCAATCCCAAATTGGAGAAGAGATCTGTTAAAGGTATATATTAGTCTAGATTTTTTCTTATTGTAAATACTGTAATTTTATAATATTGTCAATATTTTATTAACTTAGAAATATTTAACAGAGTTTAATCTATGGTAGTTGATTTATTTATAGGTTTATGTTGCAGCCAATATTGCATTACATTCTAATGTAAGATTAACTTTCAGCATGTAAACATTGATTTAATATGTCATTGGAAAGATTAAGAGAGAAGACTCTCACTCTTAATCTGTAATATTTATCCCCCAATTCCCAGTTTGGAATTATTTAACAAAATATTAAGAGGTTTCAAGAGCTCATGAATCTAACAAATGCAGTTGGGTTTGAAAACTTGAATTTTGCAATGTACCTGGCTCTTTCACCCTGTGAATGAGTTTGCTTCAATATCTAATCTATGTATAGTATGGAAGTCTTTATTTTGAGCAAAGGGACACTGTCAGTTCAATTTTAGATTCTTGTTGGGGGCGGGGGGCGGGGGGAGCAAAACTCACCCCTGGTGCATGTGTGTTAATTCCTTTTTAATCACAAGGGGAAAATCCTTTCCTTGTTGATTTGGGTATCTGGATGGAAGCATTCCACATTCCTGCAGCGGTTTGCATCCCTGCAGCCGGGCACGGGGTGGAAATCCAGCTGCTACGAGGGGTCTCGGCGAGAGGCGAGATGCCTAGCGGTGCTGCCACGTCCTGCTATCCCTGGCACTGACTGCAGTTGGAGGTCGGTGAGACGCGTAAAAGTGCACAAGGTCTAAAACTTGCCAAATTTTGACCAAAGTTTTTGCCTTTTTTTTTTTTTTTTTAAATATCTCTCTCTCTCTTTTAGCCTGATGGTGTCCCTTTAACAGCATAAAGATGTTCACGTTCTCTGAAAAACTGTTCGAAATGATTTTCTTTTTAAGGCAAGGGAGAATTGGTCTGTAATATGTTTGCAACGTAACTTGCATAAAAATACCAAAAATATATTAAGGGTTTTCACGGGAGTTGGTATTTTTGAGTGTAAAAGTTAATCTTTATTAGAGATGTGCCAATCTATACTGCTTTATTGTAGTGTTGTTACACTTAGGCATTTCAGTTAACTTACGAATATATACTGTAACAGTATACTTTGTACAGATTTATTTAAAATTTATTTGAAAACTGAAATAAAGTAGGCAGAAAATAAAGATATTTATTTTTCATTTGACTATGTAAGAAGGTATCATTCTTTTGGTTTTAGTGCACTGGTGTACCAAGCCTCAGAACCACTGATTTCTCCAGCTCATAGGATGCTTTTCCGAGACTGTGGATACGTGTATGTGTACTGCTGTGTTGATAAGTAAATGCCAACGATGGAGTTCGTTGCTTTTATACATCCCAAAGAGAAGTTCTCCACCCTTCATTTTCTGTTTTCTGACCGAAAAGGCGTGTGTTTGTGAACAGTGTTCACGCGAGTTCTGCCATCCCACTCTCACATCAGCTTATACCAATGCCAGGATGGGAGGATTTGCCTGCGTACCTTCCCCAAAACACCCTGGTCCGCAGTGGCATCGTCAGGGAGCAGTTCAAACGTGTGTCCTTTGGGCTTTGTGTAAAGCAAACACAGAACAAGAAAAATTGAGATGTTAAAATCCATTAGAAAACAAATTCCTTATTGTACAGTAGTATGGAGATCTCTAGTCAACCTGCCATTAATAATAGATTCTTATTTTTTGAATGATCTATTTAAAAGAACAGCAAGCATTGTATTTGCTAGTAAATCTGAAGTGTTTACATGGAATTACTAAATAAATTATTTGATTTAAGATGGCTCTCATCAGTGCTGATTTTTAATGCTGGAAATTAATTTTGGCAGCTGCTTTTTTAGTTGGTGCTGTTCTTTAAAAAGCAGGTTTTTTCCATGCACCTTGTGTTTTAAATTAGGTTCTGAGGAAGACGCAAAGCATACCCCTCCCTGTGAGGTCTCACAGGAGCGCTAGCTAACATTTTCCAACCCCCTTCCACATCATGAGACTGCCCCTTCACATCCCAAACAACTGATTACATTGCTGAGACAGAGCAGGATGCTCTGAATTGGAAGCCGTGCGGCAAATGGTACTTGCTCAGCTGCAGCTTTCACTGGTCTGAGTCCTGATCCATGTATAAATATATATATATTTTTTTTTTAGCAGAAAGCATTGGGATAGAAGTAAAACATCATCCTTCAAGGTAACAAGATGTCAAACTCAGTTCCAGTGTGGCTTGGTCCTGCTTACCACAGTTACAAGGCTGCGGGAAAGCCCCATGCTTCCAGCCCTATGACCCTGCTCAGGGCCCTCATGTCTGTGGACGGTCGAGAGAAGCTGAAGCAGATGGGTGCTTTGGATCGTCATCAAGGCTGAAGGCTAATTCTCTGAGCATCAGAGGCGGTGGATGGAGTGGGTGATGCCTGGCCCTGGGGGGTCCAGCCCAGAGTGGTTTCTGGCTGCAGGTGGAAAGCAGCAGGGGTGCAGTTAGTGAGAGGCTGGATGGAGAAATCCATGTCAAAGGACCACGAAGAACAGCAGGCAGTCATTGCAAATGCAGAGTCTGGCCACACTGTGTCCCCCTTCAAGCACTGTATATGCTTGTTCTTTCTTAGGTGTTCAAAACCGGGGAAGAAACGAAAACTATAAATAATGCAATCTATCCTCGCATTTCTCGTTTCCCAGGCTTTCTTGTACAGCATGCTAAGTCACCTCATGTTTAATTTAATGCTCTCAGCGCCAGTTCCCTGGTTAGAAAACCCATCAAACGCTTACATTACGCACTATTTGAAATTTTTTTTTGGACACGGATTTCACGCTTCATATTCAGGGCAGGATTCCCGTCCTCCTCGAGCATGCTCACGCCGCGGTGGCGCTGCTGGCTGCCTCGCGCTTGCGGGGAGTGACGAGCCCAGCGCCCGCTCCACGCATACAGCCAGCATCTCCCCCCGCCACCTGCTCCTCCTTCCCACTCCTCTCACCCTTGCTGGTTTGAAAAGGTACAAGTTTTCTGTCTCCTCGCCCTGCAGTGCAGTCCCGGCTCTCCCCGAGCCTTTCCCCCCCAAGGCTGCTCACTGATCACAACACATGCACACCATGCTGCTTCCTTTGGAAAGAATTCTGCTCTCCACTTATTCTTCTGAATAGCAAATTTATACGCATCTTTTTCTCAAGTGAGAGCTAGCACATGGTTATGAGTAGTATATTTCCAGTAATTTGCTTTCTGGTTTGGGGGAAATTGAGCACACTGATAAAATGGCTACATTTATCTGCGGAACATCAGGAAACTTAATTGGGACAGATGTTTCTCAGTGCTGGTACCTACCAGCCCTGGCCAATGGTTGGTGCTTCAGAAGAAGTTGGGAACAGCTGCTCTGCACCTTGCCAAGTCATGCAAAGCCCTTATTTTGGAAGAAAATATTTCCTCATTATCTTTATTTGCCACCCCCACCCCACACAGTCTCTTTTGAGCATGAGGATTTACAAATGTAGCTCAGGAGATGATTCAACCAACTGCTGAGCCTCGCAGCTGTAATGATGGTTTAATACGGGGGCTGGCAGAGAACAAGGCGGACAACCTGACCTGCTCCAGGGGCATGCCCACAGCTCTGGTCCCGCTGCCTCTGCTGGTGCCTCTTCTCATTTTAGTGCTTAAAACCCAAACTGAAATATCAAACAAAAACAATGATCACAAACTTGCAGTTTTAGCAACTGCTTGCATTTGTTTGTGACCGATGGGGTGACGCTCCAGTAACTTGTTTATGGAGCGTCTTGAACCAGCTTTGCCTCACATGATGGCTTCCCACCAAAGCAATTCCTTCCACGTTGGCTTGTTTGGCATTGCAGAGAACCTGCCGTCTTTTCTGGAAATCAGCTAAAGTAGTTATTCAAGAAAAAAGAAGTGCCACAGGGTGGCATTTTCTGACATAGGCAACCAGAGCAGGCGATTTTGCTGTCACCACCACCACCACCATGCTTGCATGGAAAGGTGACTTGAAAGCCAACCGATTGCTCCCTCCGGTGCTGCCATGTAGGTGTTTGGAGCAGAGACTACTCTTGATGCCAAGAAATGCGTAATTGCAATGAGGAGGCATAGACGTGAACTTCATCCATCTCCATCTTCCCCTTCAACCTGGCACAGCATGGTACCGTAAAGGCATAATTTGAACTATTTCACCCCAGATTTATTTCTCCAAGTCTAAAATATGGAGATGCTAAAAGTGGGGAAAGAGAGGAGCTTAATAGGGAGAACCAATACCGGTGATAACATCAAATAGTTGTTCAGATGGGAAACCAATCTGATTGATTGTTGTAGCCACCCGTGGGAGGGGTGGGAGAAGCTTGTCTCCTGTATTTTACTTTGTAACTCACCCAGTGTTTAAGTTGGCCTGGGAATCAAAAGCCATGGCAAAAACAGGCAAGGAGGATGTTAGCGTGACTCCTGGCAAGCCATTGCTCTGCACCTTCCGGACAAACTGGTGTGCAAAGGTCTCCAGCTGCTCTGTAGCTTGGCCAGGGCATTTGGAGGCAGCTGCCTGCACCGGGGCAGCTGTCAGGCAGGTGCTGCCATGGGAAGCTGTCTTCGTGTTGCAGTGTAGCAAAAGCCTGTTAGCACTTACACTGAGCACTCGAAGCCAATGGATGCATGGAAGAGCTTAACCCCCGAGAAGCATGCCCTGAGAGAGCAATAAACACAGAGGGAAAGAGACACTTATGAGTTTAGAAGGAACTAAATTACTTTAATGAAATATTGATAATAAAGGAAAGAGGAAGGGGCTGGAAGGAAGGCAAAGCCCCGCAGACAAAACCTTTGGTGGAGTTGTGATTCAAAGGAGCTGCAGACACAGCTGCCAAACACTATGTCTAAGGATGCTTAAAGTAATGTCAAGTGAGGGATGAGCTGCGAGTCCCATCATGGAGACCAGCAGGGGCTTAGGGAATCCCTATGCCCAGCTGTGGTGTCCTCTGGCCCTACTTCACCCTCCAGGCCTCCCAATGCCCCATGGCACTAAGTGCCCCTAATCCTTGCATTTCCTGTGGTGGACTTTCCTAGTTCATTTTTAGCCTGTGGTTTGATGGTTTCACAGCAAGGCTCTGCTTCTCTGTGATGGAATTAGTAACAGGGGATACAGCAATAGCAAATAATTATTCACTAATTAGTAGGCTAAATACCAGCTTAATTTGCTTTACGTAAAAATTATTATTATGTTTTGTTACCCCCTTGTGCACCTATTGGCAGCAAAAAATAAATTCGTGGGTTTTCTATTATTTTAACAAAAGCTTGCAGCCCTTCCATAAACACTATTCAAGGTACGGGACATGTGACGTACTGGGAAACTTAAGAAGCGTGATGTCTTTACTGCACAGAGAAGAGCTGACCTAAGCATCTCTACAGGTACCTTCATAGAAGAGGTTTCAGTAGCAGATGAATCTTACATAAAACAGTGTAGAAAGAGAGAGTGGCCTGAAGATGACAGCATCAA